GAGCGGCAGCCATGTAAATGTAAATGAAGCCGCGATCATTTAAATCGCGGCTTCATTTGCCTTTGCTGATCTGTCTAATCTACATGCCTCTGCTGACAGAGGCATGTAGTCTAGACACAGCCCATATGTATACCCTGCACAGTAGGCACTGACTGACTCATCAAGGTAGCTATTCCAGTGGGCATGAAGGTGGAGTAGATCAACGATCAATCTCATCCTCCTCTTTTTCTATATCCCTGCATTGAGTATCCCTATGCACTTCAGGACAATGTGCTGGCACAAGGTCACTAGAAGGCATAATGGGGAGTATGTGCAACAGTATTAGGGTATGTCTACACTAGCCCCCTAGTTCGAACTAGGGAGGCTAATGTAGGCATTCAAAGTTGCAAAGTTTGGAATGAGGTGTACTGGTAGTTCGAATTAGAGATCCTAATTCGAACTACATACTCCGTGCCGTGTGTAGCTGACGGCACAGAGTTCTGACTAAGGGACATTTAAAAATGGTGGCACCCAGGAAGATGCAAATGAAGCCCGGGATATTTAAATCCCGGGCTTTATTTGCAACTTTGAATGCCTACATTAGCCGCCCTAGTTCGAACTAGGGGGCTAGTGTAGACATACCCTTACAGATTACACAGGGCTGGTCAGAAAATTTTGAAAAAATAAAAATGTTGGAGAACAGCAAACACTTTATTTTCTCTTTTCTGATCATTGCTAGAGTTAGTTGTACAGGGTAAGCTGCAAAGAATTAATTCCATGTATTTAAATAGAAATAAAGAATGACTGGTAACATTTTATGTGAGTGGGGATCAGCACTGTAGTTTGGTAGGTGAGCTGGACATCAGAAACAGGATTAACGCTAGTTCTTTATCAGTAAGCAACCAAAAGTACCTGAGCCACAGGTTTCTGTCCAATCTTGTTCTTGCCATTTAAAAATGCACTAGAAACAAAGTATTGAATGGTGTAACCTAATATAACAATTGTAGCTGTAATAATATTAAAAATTGAACATCATTAATGAAACTTCTCATTTTTCCCTCCTATATCCCTTATAGTTGTTTTCAATACCTAGGAAATGTGAAATATAATGACCATAAAAATAACTCAACATGCTTTCATTAAACAGAGAGAGGACAGTGAAAGTGGAGTATAAAGCACATATGATTTAACATTGCTATCAACATGGTCCATTGCTGAGATATTAGATATTTCTCCTTTGTGATTGCTCACACTTCCCTGAATGAAGTTCTGTATCTTTTATGACAGTTCTCATTTTTAACATTTGTAATTATTGTTCTCAAGGGGGACAGCCAATACTGTAAATACAAGTCCCCACTAATAAGCCAGGTGCAGTGCAGCAGCTGCAATGAAAGTCTTTCCCTGATATTGCCCCATTGGTAACCTTAGACCTGACCTGAGAAATTTCCTCTCATAATTAAAAGAAATAATTTACTGTAGCTTTTACTGACTGGGTCAAAATGATTCCTTAAATCCACAATGCCAGTCATGGCAATCTAGGCATACGAAATTGGTAAAACTACAGTTTACATGGGATAATGTTGCGGGCAGCATATCATGTTATTCTAAATCAAATGGTAACTTGCCTTTCTGGAAGAGATCTTCTGAAAAAACTTCTTCCGAAAGAAAGAGTCCACACTTCCAAAGCGCATCAAAAAAGCGATCTGATTTTTCGAAAGATAGCACCCACACTGAATGGATGCTGTCTCACATTTAAGCTGTGATTGCTATGGACGGAGTGGCCACCAGGGCACCTGTGCTTTTTCCTCTTTCCTCTTCTTCTGAAAGAACTCTGTGGTATTCTCTATCCTTAGTAAAGGGAATATGACAAACAGTATAATAATGTTATTAAAGGAAAGGGAAAAATTGTAAAATTTTTAATAGCAACAAAGGTACTTACTTCTGTTGCCTAGCTAAATACAAAACTATGAAAGC